ATAATAATTTTGTACGATTATTGTTATCGTTTGACATTATAAAGTTTTGATATATTGCAAAGATGTATTATAGTATATGTAAAAATATATTTCAAAAAATGTTACTTCGATTAAAATTATATAAATATACAATTAACTACACGAAATTTTACACGAAGTAGGTTGACTGTATCTATGTAAAAAATTAAATTTTTAGATACGCAGTATTTTTAACGGCCAAAGGAAACAATGCTTAATTGCAATAATTTTGCAATAAGATACAATGAAATTTATCATATTTGTTACATAAATCGTAAACACGAAACTCGATCTAATAAACTTCTGGCTCGCAAAAGCGAAATATTTTCAGTTGGAATAATGAACAGGACAGGAATAATGCATGGAAGGTTTTCATTGCGTGATATAATGTTTACAACGTAATTTTTTTTCTCTAAGTTTCTTCTTTTTAGCCATTTATTGTTAAAGCAACTGAATCGAGCAGTCTGCTTGTTCCAGCGAAAATACGCAACGTAAAAAGGATCCGATCGCAGTCGCACATATTGGGGCGAACCGTTATGTTTAGTTTTCGACTTTTCGAGACACGGTTTCTCTCGCGTTTTGCTTGCTTTCCAATATTTGCTCGAATTGCAAGCCATTCGGTATCGTCGAGAACTTGGTCACCTTCAGCGACCATTTTCAACATTGCGAGAAACTTTCGAATAACATTCTATGTTAGGATACATCTTGCGATCAAATAGATAGCTTCTAGAAAAATCGAGGACTTCTCGAGAAAAAATTGAGATGCAAAGTGTATTCCAAAGGACAAAAAAAAACATCAAATTTATGATAAATTTTCTTTGGTTGTGCATGATGAATCATTAGTAAAATACCAATACAAGTAACAATAAGTAATATATATTATTTATAATAATTTTCACTTATTTTTACAATATTTAATTACACAAAACAGTAACAATAAGTAAGATATATCATTTATAATAATTTTCACTTATTTTTACAATATTTAATCACACAAAACTCTTTGTATAAACTTTTTTTTGTTTACAACTGTAGAAGAAGGGATTATGATAAAATAGCTAAATTTTAGTATTTATCCAAATTGCATTGAGATTTTTTTAAATTCTTTTGTTCCTTAAAATATAAAAGCTTGAAATAACAGTATTATACTAAACGGACATGATTTAGTTTTGTCATATACTAATAATTGATATCAGTAGTCTATTCAACAGCTTAATTATCTATTGTAAACATAAATTGTATACTGACGATAAAAAGATGAAAGCTGAATTGAGAATTGAAATAATGAAAGAGCACTTTTGCCTGTAATGAAATATCGTAATAGAAATGCAAGAATATATATATATATATATATATATATATATATATATATATATGTATAGGTATATATACACTGTGACTTTTCTTAATGAAATTTCTACATAACATCGCGAATCATAATGATTGCTTTCGTTATTGTCGCTTAATAATCGATTAAAGTAGATTTCCTATTTGCGTGTACGAAGCACCGCAACGCCAGTAAAATTATAATCAAAATTTGCAATTTCGTGTTGCTTTATTATGTGCCTGTAGTTGTCTCCGTAATGAATGATTTTCCGTCGGGATTTGAATGATAGCTCATAAGGGATTTCGATTGAAATGCGATGCACGCGCGTATGCGCGAATACCAGGTACGCATTGTGTCGCTATTACTGTGGTAAATGATTAATAATGTGGTTTTTTGTTGATTTTATTTCGTGTTCGAAGTTTAATTTTACACTTGACTGTTTTATTCCGTTGCTTTGATAATTATTAATTGGAAGAGGATCACGAAATGGATTTTAATAAAAGATTAACGATATATATTTTAAATATGACCTAGTAACAAGCGTACTTCAAATAATATTCCAAACGATCGTGTTTAATTGAGAAAATATGCAATTTTATTAGGGAATATCAATAACATTAGGATGATACGTATCACAAAACTATTAATATTGTTTCGCATTGCACAGAAAATCATTGATCACTTTATTAATCAGAGTGTTTATGACAGGAATGTTATAAGGCATGTATTTAATAAACGTGTATAAAAAATATAACTGCAAATAAAAATAATAATAAATGGCCAAATAATTATTATATATTTTATTACTAATATTATTAAACATTTCTTGAAAAGCTGTTTTTATGAATATTTTACTCACTTGCAACTTTTAGAAGGAAAAAGAAACTATGTATTAGTGAAAACATCGAAAAGCAATAATAAATCATTCCCGTGATTATTACACTGATTCTAACGCTCTAGCTGTAATAGATTATTCAGCTACACTATTGTGTACGTTTTTTTTTTTTCAATCAAATTGCATAGAATTTGGAATTAGCAGCGCGAGCGAGTTAGATATACATTTGCCTTCGTTCATTCTTTGCTTGGCCCTAAAAGCCGACGAGTATCGACTTTATAGAACGTGAGATTAATTGCCGCTATGTTATCTCGTCCGCTCGGTTACGCCCCCGATCCACTTTTAACCCGTCGTTGAAATGCACGTCGTTTTCAAAAACCCAGCGCTTATTTTCCGCGCGAACAGATCCGAACCTTAAACATCTCCCCAAATTTCCTTCAACAATTTTATTTTGAGAAAAATCATTAATTGAAAAAGCAAAAATCTGATATAATTATACGGAAAGAGAATACTAAATCGCCTTAGCATGGTATGATGTTCCTCTTTCGCTCAATCGTCAAATTTTCTCCACGTAATTCAGAATCATAAAAATCTTTTTATCTCGTTTTAACACCCGCGTCCATTCGCACAAATGTTTTTTCATGTTAATTATGCAAAAGACGGCACAAGGCTCATTTAATGCTGGACGTTTTGTCGTTGTTACTATGATAATAGTCGTTTAATAGTCGTAATTAGCCTGAAATATACACAAATGCGTTGAACGCACGTGCGTTTAAGCGGTCCATTCCTAATTGCGATCGTCGACTTTCTAATTCAACATCATTTCTAATATCATATTAGAGCTTAGAAGATATGTACATACACACATACATACATACCTCTGTGTGCGTGTGTGTGTGTGTGTGTGTGTAATCTGAAAAATTATACACTGTTAAAAATGTTCGGAAAATTTTGTGAGATTTAAGGTACTAAAGTAACTGAATTTTACGAAATTAGGTTGCTGAAAACGAAATTTAGTAACATTCAAAGCAAATTTACTAAATTTCTCTTAAAATTCTGATACTGTATCGTAGAATTATAAATGGTTTTTTTAAATTACTAAATGGTAACAGAAATTCCGATACTGTATCGCAAAATTATAAACGGTTTCTTAAAATGACTAAATGGTAACGGAAATTTAAAATATCGTGACTAGAAAAAGTACGCAATGTACTCTGCGCAGCTTTTGTCCAGTGCACTACTCGGCGGCTTGTAGAAACGACGCATCCAAGCTCACGGACAGAGAAAGGTGAAAGCAAAGAATAATGATAATAGAAAGGATAGTGATGATAAAAAGAATAGTGATGATTTTAATATATAATGCTGCTTACATTATTTATCTTGATATATAAATAATAAAATAATACGAGGGAAGTATGTTTACACAAATAACTAAGTGCGTATAGATTATATGCAGTATTTTCAATACATTAAAAGAGATAAAAAATTTTTTATCGGTTTATTAATTTTAACATATATGTATGCAGTTTATAATTACCTTGGCACATAAATAACAAGATAATGTGAGCGAAATATGTTTATGCAAACAGTTGCGTACATACGTGTGTTATATGATATTATACTCAACATATCAAATGTATAGTTCAAAAAGTATGCACACCCAAATATAACTCTTTATAACAATAATTATAAAATACTTTTTGACTATACATTTGATATATTGAGCATACCATATAACACACGTTACGTACGTATGCAGTTGTTTGCATAAACACACATACCTCGCTCACATTATCTTACTATTTATGTGTCAAGGTAATTATAATTTGCACGTATGTTAAAATTAATAAACCGATAAAAAATTTTTTATTTTTTTTTAAATTTTCAGTTACAGTTACTACAAATTACTAAACTATAACTGAATTTTCAGAGACGTGTGACTAAAGCTTTATGCAGTTACTGCTTCTGAAATTTTTATTCCCGTTTAGTAAATTTCAGAAACGGTAACTGCATAAAGCTTTAGTATCTGAAAATTCCCATAGAAATTTCTAACAGTACACGTTATACATTATCCTCCAGTATTATGTATTAGATGTATCAGATTTTGACGTAGGAATTTAAAGCAAAAGTTTCATTGCATCGTAGTTGCTCAAGTATGGATATCGATGTCGAATCAATCATAAAATGCGACGTCAATTGTTTAAAAAAATAATACTTTAAGTAGATTTTTTACTTCTATATGTCGATATACTGTATGTCCACAGTTTGCTTGCTTATGCTTTCGTGAAGCACAATAATGTCTGAATTTTACATTAAACATAGTTTATACAAAAGATTGTTTCTGTTATTAACGAAAAATTACCGCATTTTTAAATTGAAATATATATACATGTATTAAATGATTTTTTTAAGCAAAGAAAATTACACAGTTCAATATATGTATGTTACAAATATATTTTAAATTTTTGCGTTGGATATATGCTTTCCTAATTCGACGAACACTCTGCGGGAACGTTATGTATAATAAAAATAAGTTATACAAAAACTATAATTTGTTCCCGTGTTTGAGAACGTTTCGCCCAACGTAGAACGCAAAAGCATGGTAGAAGGAATAAAAAAAAACGTTCCTCTCGCAGTCCAGTAATTTCATTTTTCTGCTCTGTGTGCAGAAAAAAGAAAATAAATAAAGCGAGCACACCGCATTTTTCATGCAAGACAGATTTCAACAATCGCGCTTTTTGCAATTTCTCCTCATATCATATTTTATGTAGTGACGACCTTATTTAAATGCAACGAAGACGTATTCGAGATTAATCCTACCTTATGTTATCCTCGTCGACGAATATTATGACTCCCCTGGCGTTGTGCTTTGAACTCAGTCGTTCGATTATTCTATCAAAGTCCTCGGTCTTGGAGTTTCTCAGGATCTTCTCGCTGACTGCGACACAGATGTTGTACTCCAACGAAAGGGCAATGAAACTGGCGATGCCCTGAAAATAGATATTCAGCCGCAAATAAATTGCCCGTCTATCCAATGAGAAGTCGAATTTTCACGATAACATGTGAGCTTGTTTTCTTGGTAAACAATCGAATGTAGCGAAAAGTATTATACAATGTATTTCAGACGCGGACTCGTATCTACGTACTCATTTATCATTGACGATAAATTCTCGAAATTTGCACGAGATATCGCGGCCATTAAGTAGCAGATTGTTGTTCGTGGTGAGCACAAAGAAAATAATGTAAAGAAGCAGTAAGTTTTTATTCTCCCAGAGTCCCATAGAGTCCCATTTGTTAAAATTCTTTCACATTTTATGTTAAATAAATCAAATATTGTATCACTTTTAGACATAAATCTTGAATAAAATCGAATTCAATTCAATGTATATGTAAATGAAAAGATGGCCGAAGAAAGATGCGCCGAACTGCAGCCGGAGGTATTATCGGTGCATTTTACAACGCAATAAAAACCATCATAATTTATTACGGTACACCGAATATTTTCGCGATATCAGAGAGAACTCGCTATAATGATTAGTTCAATAGTTCTCGATTTATCCACAATTCTGAAATGGACGAATTTTAATATTTATTAGTAATAAATGCAGTATCTTGATCGAAGGACATAAAACTTTACATGAATTTTGGTTATTCAAATTGACTGAATACAGAACCACAAGCTCTTACTTTTTCAAATAATGTGTTTTTAAAAGTTTAGCTTATATGTATACGTATAAAATAGTTATGTACATTAATTTCTTACATTTTAATATATTTTTAAATCTTACTTAATTTGTGTTATTATTGCATATAAATAATTTATATACATATAGTATATACATGGTTTGTCCCAAAAGTAATGAGAATATTTTTGGGGGCTTAATCAGAATTGTCGGAGAGTAGATCCATTGGACAGGGCCTTTGGTGCGGGATGTTAGGTATACAATTTGACCCTTCTTAGTTGCCTCCGAGCCTTTCTAGTAGTCGATACCGTCAGCAAAACGCGTTGTAATTTTTGTGTCTTGTCAAATTCAGCACGAAAGGGCGAAAATTCAGCACAGACTATGCTGTATTTTGAGCAGCGTTACGGGATTAAATTCTGAAGACAAAACAGCATCCCCATAAGCTGCTCTCAATATCTCCAACGTTTCGGAACCAGATTTTCTCAGTTTCAAAATTTGATCGCTGCTCGAGATTGTTGAATTTTCGACCGTGACAAGACACAATGCACTTTACTGATGGTATCAACTGCAGGAAAGGCTCGGTACAGGCAACTGGAAAGGGTAGGACTTAAAAAAAATATTGAATTTTATAATATGTACCTTAATGTGCGTGCAATAAAATAAAATTCCGTATAATTGCAAAACTGAACAAAAAAATATATCCAATTAATTTTTTTATGAACTTTTTTGAAGAAAATTAATCTCGAAGTTACAAAAATTATTATTATTGGACTGAAGATTCTTGTTCTTTTTTATTTTTATGTTATTGAGAACATACAATAAATGAAAAAAGAAATGAAAGTAATAGTAATTACGAAGAAATGAAAAAAGAAATTTGAATGAAGAAATACAATGGAAACTTAGATTATTAGATATTATCTATAGATATTAGACATTATTAGATATAATCTACTATATTGTTGGATTTATTTATTGTACTATAAAGAAAAAAAAATTGATAAAAAGAGTAAGAGATAAATAATGTAATTGTTCGGAAAATAATGGTACGATAAGATGTTTTTGTATCAGCCGATTTTCTTAATAATAAAGTTCACTTTCCTTAATAATTGGCCGCGCTTGACCTCATTTTTATTTCTACGTGATTCTGATCTCTTTTTATATAGATATTTTTTATTTTCTGTTACGAGTTACCCATTATACATATTTGCGCTTGAATGATTTTGTCTAAAATTATAAGTGATTTCATTTCTAAACAGCTGTATTTTTAACAAAATTTAATGATTATTTTGCGAAGTAATAATTATAGTTTTATTAGTAATTACCGAATAAATTATAATAAATAATTTTGTAGTTGGATGTAGGACACGCGATTTGTTGCAGAAAATTTTCTTCCATTGCGATCTCTTTCAGTCTTAATTTTCACAATATGCTTCTCGTTCTTTAATTTGCGTTAAATCGTCTTATGCACTTTATATCCCGTGCCATTATAAGGATATTAACACAGCTACATTCGTGTAATCGTTTTACGTGAGCTTATGCTTGTTAAAATATGCACCGCATTTGCAACAGCCGCAACTGTGCTGTGCATCCAACATTTAGCGAAAGAACCGGCTCATAAATTTCGTTAAAAACCAGAAGGAAATGTAGGCGTCTCATTATCTCCTTGGCCACTATCGTGAGACCGAATTTTATGTCGTAGCTCTTTCATAATATATTTTTCGCATTTGCATCCAAAAAGACTGTGCGTACATTTTTGATTAGGTACTCGTATTATCAATTTTAATTATTTAAAATTTGTTTTATTATATTGTAAATTTGAGTTCTACTATATCTATACTTGACACATAATCGGATTTTCCCAAAATTTAAGGATTTTCTTCGTTGTATCTATTTTTATTATCAATACGACATATTGATCAAGATATGAAAATTTTGGTAAAAGCATAACATGTTAGCTTTGTAACTGTATAATTTACTTGACGTAAATTATGCGGTTTCGATATTTCGAAACGCGATTGACAGCGACTAATTACACAAAGTAAGTGCAAAGCTATTATGACATGTAATAGTGATTAATTAGGCTGATCACTGACACTGGTTTAATTACTCGGAATGCGATTACCGGCATATCGTCTGCAGGAGTCCTTCTGAAAACGCCCGTAGGTACAATTCGCACGACGTCGCGTCGGCAAATTTGTACGTTCCGAGACGCAGAACACGCTATTATCATGAACATAATCGTCAGAAGGCAGCCATTTGGCTAGCATAATTGGACCATAAAATCGTACCTACATCAATGTTCGCAGCGAATATGAAAAATTCTTGTGTGGCATTCCTCAACATATGAGAAATTATGGACATTGCCGGTTGAATTATCGCACCCGTTGAATTATTATACCTGTTCATTCGTCCATCACGTGATAATAATACAGAACAATATTGGAATGTCTATGTTGCGAAAAATGCGTATATTCCAATTCGTAATTAAATAGGCCAACAAATAATGATTAATTTAAAAGAAATTTAAAGATTTAAAATTATCCGATTAAAAAAATCCATACTTTCATCAACTTTACCTCCCATGTCTTTTGTAAAGATTTCTAAGCATCAATTTATTAATGGAAAAATAATAAAATAAGGCTCTCTCTCGTATTAATATTTTCTCCTTTATCTTCCTAGCGTTAAGATTCTGTAGATCCTATAGCTCATTTCTTCCACAGAATTTACAATTAAGGAGCAAAAAAATTCATGAAGCACAAATGATGTTGACCAAAAAATTTTGCTTTTTGCAATTTTTGTAAAATTTAATTACTCTGGTAATCTCTTCGCGTGGAATTTCCACTGCGCAGACATTGTTCACACGCTTGAATTTTTTTGTTCAAAGCCCCGGAAGTGCTAGTAAAGTTTTCAACATTTTATTTGCATTGTGTACAATTACTTATAAAACTTTCAAAAATCGAGCCGAGCACTTTCAGACTACTGAACCACGGAAATCTTTTTTCCTATACTGCCGTACATCACAGACATTGTTCACACACTTGAATTTAAGTCAGTGGCTGGCGCTTTAACATCAAGTTTTCTTGCTTGATTGCACAGTTAGTTTCATCTTCGCTAGTTAACGCGGTCGCACATAACGATCTCATATTATAATTACCATTGTTATAATAACTTTTATTCAACGTAATATTAACGCTATTGTGCAATACAATCTTTCGAAAGAATTAAGTGTTACACCATATATATTATACATTTATATTAAAATATTTCGTTAAAAATATAATAATGATAAGAAAAACTAATGACTTCTTTTTACAAAAAAATATCATTCTGTTGTTACATGTAACAGTATATATACATTTTGGGGGGGGGGGGGAAGCAATGCGCGTAAAACATGATACATGAATTAAACACGAATAAACATATCGCAACGATCATATTCCTTCATTTCACTCACCTTCTCGCCGTACTCGCCTTCCACAGCAACCGTGGAAACATATTTCCATCCAAGCAGATGGATCACCTCAACGATCGCCTGTGCCTGAAAATTATCTGGCGGTACCACCCTACTGAAGTACTCAAATCGGCTTTTGTCCGAGAGTTCTGTGCTGGTAGAGGCGTAACTTATTTGCGGTATCTGCAATCACGTTATCACATAACTAGAAAAGCTGAAAAATGTATCTCTACTTTTATGTATATCTGAAAAATAAATCAATGTAACAGCGATGAAAAGAAGAGAAGAGCAACAGAAATCTATTTTTCATAAAAATCACGATTATTATTAAAAATATTAATATCCAACGCTACTGAATTTTATATTTTACATCGTATCACTTATCAAAAAGCTCTTGCTTATATATTGCATACAGATATATGTACCTATTTTTTAAATGTAAATAAAGCGTTATAAATAATGCGTGCAAAAATTATATAAAATAATAAAACGCGTAATATTATATTTAATATAACATTCTTCGAAGTTATTTTCTTTATATTACGGCACTTATTGGAAAGATAAATTATATAAAACACTGTGCAGAGATACGCGCGCGCGCGTGTATGAAGGTTAATATCCCGCGTCATTTGATGCGCGACCCTGTTTCTCATCCTGTGGATACGAAGAGAGCCTGTAACTTTGTAGCATCTGTGCAGGCAGCATCGCGAATCTAATAATCTCGTGGGTCTGTTGGAAGTGGCTAAGTCTGCGAGTCACCCTCTCTCCCTCGGGTTTCTTTGGTTGCAACGGATAATTCCATTTTTGCACAAAGAGCATGCGCTTCGCTGAGATAGTTTCCTGTTGATAACATTGTCCCTTAACGGGTGTCATTGGCATTATCACACGTCCTCTTATCGCTCGACATACGCGCGAAGATTGACAATAGCGTGCGAAAGCCGCGCCCGTATTATCGCTTCCCGTATTAATTTACATCCATTTGTTTCGACGGTTACTGTTACAAGACTATTGACGTGACGTAAATTACGACGAGCGCTGCGAGAATGATCAATCGAGACTTTACTATGGGTCAGGTCAACGGCACGTGAAAATTGTGTGAAGTAATAAAATAGAATATGAGGACATTATGGAGATACTGCATTATCGATACAAAGCTTTTACGTTCTATCGTGAATCTCTTCAGAGTCAGATTGGAGAAGTGCAATTACATTTTTCTTACTTAATTATTAATATCAGTTTGTAATAAATATGTTACAATTATATTATACACTATAATTTCATAAATAATTTTGAAGGAAGATATTGCGATATAACCATGTGTAATTATGCATTTTATTACTCCAATATTTTTTGATAATTACTAAAATTATGATTTTGTTCAAATTAACTGCTTTTATTAATTATTAAATAAATACTTTTTTATTAGAAATAATAAGGGAGAAGAGCCAAATTCGACCTTGACTAGATATTCGTTGCCAAATATTTTTAATTTTTAAATCTTTAAATTTCAGCTGCCTTAAACTACGCGCCGATTATTGTCCATCTTTAAGAACGCAAAACGCAACCGTAACATAAACTGAAATAACATCACTTAATTTTGATGATGATGATAATGATGATGATGATGCTATAAGCAGCCTATAACACTGTAAAAAACTTATTGCGAAAAATACTTTTTTTACTAGAAAAATGTGCTAGTGTACTTTTCTTATTGTTTCTCCGCATTGTAAATTTTTGAAATCACGTTTCTTTAAAATCTGAAAATCGATTATACTTTAACGCACTTTTATTCAAAGAAAATTATTTCAATTTTTGCACGGAATACCAAATTGCAATTATACAAATGGCATTCTTAAAGTCGAAAGTACACCTGAAAGATTCGATTTGTGTGGCTATTATGTTACTGAGGATTAATGTATTATGATTTGCAAAGATTTCCTAATTACACTCTGAAATTAATTAGTTTATTATTGCCTCAAGAGAAAGACACAGAAAATACAAAATGTCGCTCTTGTTATTTTAACGCAACAATAATGATTATTAGAGCAGTTGCAATGCTCATTTAGTATTAGGTAATTCAATTCTTCCTTTTTAAATCTTATGCATTCTCAAGTTGAGAATTCAAGACTCGCAATTACAATATAACTAAATATATCAAATAATGAAAAATATTTCATTTAATAAACTGCCGCGCAAAAATATACTAAAGATTTACTAATTAGGACTTTTTACTGATTAGGAAATTGATCAATGGAAACGGTTTAATGTTACAAATGATTTATCGATACCTAATTACCAACCGATAGCAATTAGATTTCTACTCGATACATTTACTGTCTCGTTTCGTAAGCCATTTGATATGTCAGTTGCACGGCGCTATAATTTCCATAATAGAGACAAATTTGCATTAATGAAACTCAACTTACATTAAAATAAATTAATAAATATCGTCTATGCATACTTTCTTTGTCATTTTTCTATCTCAATATATATATTTTCTATATTATTCTCGTTATTAATTTTACGGTAATTCATAAGTTGTATGATTTTACTCACTACATGTATTACTTATCCTGCTTCTATTTGGAAATAAGACAGTTTATTGAATGATTTCAATATATCACCTAATAAATATGCAATTAATTATGTAAATATAGCTAAGAGCTCAAAACTAAATCAATAAGTGGTGGCTCATAATTTTACGTAAATTATTCCTTCACACTTTCAGTTACGATTTAGAGTTTAATTGATTTTGGAATCAATTAACGTTTCGTCTCTCTCCGCACTGCGGTCGCCAATTGTATCACGGCCAAAACTCAAAACACACATATATTTGCTTAAATAATTTAAAATTAATAATTAATAATCCAATTTACTTTTCGAAGATTAGATCTATTATACAAGGTGATAAAGATTAATAGATAGAAGAAAAAAATAATGCAAGATTTTTAAATATTTTAAATAATTATTATTTAATTAAGATGACAGAGAGTTGCAATAATCTCAAAGATTAAAACTTTGCATTTATTAATAAATAATTCGTATTTGAGAAATACCCAATTTTCTGCACAAAATGCGCAATATGAATTTCAATGCGCTCTCTCTCTCTCTTCCTTTCTCAATACCTCTACATTCCTTAACTAAATTATTATTAATAATCTCAGCGCGCCTTTCTCGGCAATTTTTAACATTTTCGACCAAGTGATGCAATAAACGGTTCATTGCAATTCTAATGAGTGCAGTTACGATTTGCAATGCACAACTCACCGTCAGAATCGATTTGAACAATTAAAACTGTTCAACAAGAAGAAGAATCAAAATGAATGAATTAACGATAGTCGGCCGAATAAATAGAACGTTTTATCAAATGAGTCGTTATGTAATTAATTGCTAATTTATTTTGCACAGCGTATTGATCAGCGTTGACGCATGAAATAATAATGTGGAATAAAAAATTGTGATATTTATGAGAAGAAATAGTTCAAAGATCATCATTTAAGTAAAAAGAGAAAATATAGCACACAGAACGGAAAGATAGATTTATAAATACATAAAATTCATAAAATTAAGCGAGTTAACGCATTCAACTCAAATATAAAACTACTGAAAAGCAAATTAATAAAAGTGTTCCAATACCAAAGCGTATCCGGAGTAAATATTAGTTTTATAAAATGTTTATTTTATGCCCCTGAGCTATATAGAAGTATATACATAAAACAAAAAATAATAAGATTCTTAAAAAGACAATAACTTCAATTGGCTGAGGTTCAAATCCCCGAGTTTAAAGCTTAAAAAATTGATTCTGAAACTTATATAAAGAATTACTGTAATCTATTATACTATCTCCCTGAATATTTTAATTCTTCTTAATTAAAACGACAATAATATATAAATAGGTATGTAATTAATATATATTATTTTTGTTACTTGCCAGCATGTAATACATTCGAATTAATCTTGTCTTAGTCTTTGCCATATTGACAGACTTTCAAATTTGCTTTTTACTCTGGGCAGTTGACATAATACGAATATGCACGAGACACAAAGGGTTAATTGCGCCCCGTGGCGTACAAAGGAAAAGCATCTCATAACCATCGA